CATGGTAACGAAAGAGATCGTACAAATTGTTTTTGTACACAAAGTTCTGGCTTTATGTCATGTATTGCCAAAGCCTCTGCTACGCAAAGCAAATGCACTCGTGTTCTTTTCGAAAAACTTTGTAGACTACATTAAAATATGTGTCAGATGCTGCCTGGTCAGTATCTAAAATATGCCGATGAATTAATACCTCCACGTTCTCTTTTGCTCAACAAACTGGGAGGTGCTGTCGAACGCGGTGGGACATGTTTCTCGGTGAACGTCCTAGGTATCTAGCTCTACAACAGCAGATGAACGTATAAATACACTTGAAATTAGACTATCGATGTAACATTTCCTTTTCATTAAGGTGTCCCAGGGGACGGCTAGAGTAAGTTATCGGTAAAGTGGCAGCAAAGAACGTTTTCCTCAATGATATCATCGGACGATTTTTAAATACCTCACTCACAGTGTCACCCCTAAATTCTAAGTTCAGGTGTTTGTAAGTTTCCTTTATCAGTCTACTTTTATAAGGCACTGACTGTTTAATTAGTTGAAGAATTACATATTAATTTAACAAAGCAGATATTCTTTGGCATTTCTTTCACAAGCATAGTTAAACTCCTAACAAACTCCATAGGATAATAACTTTACTAGTTTACTTTCGTTATGGATAGAATATAATGTGCCAATCTAACTTTGAGTACTGAAATGAGGAATTACTGTTTGAATGTTAGTGTCAATTTCCTCCTGTTTGTAACTGGCTGTTATCACTCTAAAAGTCAATATTTTAACAACCCCATACGATTTATTCAAAGCACTCGTCATCCAGTACAAAATTGGATATATGGAGTCATTCATTCTAATCTTTATGATCTCGCATAGTAAATGTAAGTCTTACATAATTTTGAATATCTTTTTGCGAACAATTTACCTTGAGAAACTTTAAAATGAATCCCCTTCGTTTGTATTTTGGAGCTAACATTAGTTTCAGTAAGGTGATCTAACGTACGGGGGCTAAAATGAACAATATGAGAACCTCAGGGGTCGCGCTAAATCACGAATTGATAGGAGTTAGAATTGGGTCCCAGTGGCTGGGTATACGAGCTTGCCTTGTAACCGGAAGGTCCTGGGTTCGAATCCCAGTGGGTGCGTACTGCCGATGATTCCCAAACTAGGATGAAACAGCAGCTGTCCAGTACTCCCTGGTTTTCAATGGTTCTCTAACTGATATCAATCCGTGATCAACTCGTAAGAACATTTTTATGCTGTGCATAAAACTCTGTCTACCACTTTGCATACATTCATAGAATTCGATGTTATCAAAAAAGAGAAAGATTTTCGTTTACATTCCTGATTATATTTTGAAAAATCTGATGTTAAAGATTTATGTATTTTTTAGCATGTTGGTTGATTTACTAGTCGACTATTAGAATGATAATGATATCTTAACACACAAACAAACATTTAATAGCCAATGTCTTCAGCGAATATTTGTCCTCACACCCGACTTGCTGCATCCTACTGGTCACGACTTCCCACTAGAACCCCAGGTAACTACCTGCCTGAATAGGGCCAGTCGCTAGTAAGCATCAGATCAGTTTTCAAGTATTGGTTTGTAGGGATTTGATTGACTAGTTACAGGATTTCATTTGCTGAAAATTACCAAACTAGGACAAGACAGCTTTCCAGTACTCCTGGCAGGTTTCTAACCGATTTCACCTGATAATGAAATCCTGTAACCAATCAGTCAAATCCCTAAAAACCAGTACTTAAATATTTAATAGGTTGAACAACCGAAAGTGCTTGTTTTTTCCGAAGTTCACTACTAATGTAAGTCTAAATGTTTAATTATCTTCTCTGATAAGCTTAGTCGTGAGCTTTGTCACTGTTGCAAATTCTGTCATTTCATATAATTGGTCATTTTCTGTTCTTATCTGAGAATCACTGTATTTAAGCCAATAAAAATTTGGTAACTTGTTGACATTTGCTACAGAATTCTTGTTCACAGAAGCCCTTAACATATTTTCTTGAGATTATCCCCTCTATTATCGTGGTATTGTTCAGCAATATTTAAATCTGGAATTTAGTCGTGGAGAATAAAGATAATACATCCTATAATGCTCTGAATTCATACAGTAACAACAGAAAACAAGGGCCAGGCAGCAGATCGTTTATTAAGGAAATCAAAGCATATTTATATATTTTCATGTACATTATTATAGATTAGTTACACAAACAAACACAGTCTTCTGATTGGTTGTTTCTCACTTAAAGTTAATGTTTCATCTCTTTGTGACTGTTTCTTGAATGTCAGATCATCTGTATGTTAACTGTATCCGCCTACGCAAAGTCTGCTGTGGTCGGTTTTGAATCAGTCTTTGTTCATATTTTCTCACAACCAATCTTGAGAACGTAAACATTGACGTCAATTACTGTCTACCAATTTGGCTAGTAGACAGCTCTCACCACAATACTAGCAACAGAAGTTATATAATGTGTTGCACAAACTGATATTTGGTCTAATTGAAAGCAGTTTGATATCTAAACTAGAACTGAATGAAAATGAATTCTAATCGTATAGATCGCGACTTGCTGAACATTTCCTAAAGATTTCTGACTTCTAGCTGACGACGTGTTAGAGGCTGTGAACCATCCTGAAATAGTTCCACAGTATCAGTTACTAGTGTTCGGAAGCTCTTAAAATCTGGTACACTGGGACAATACGTACAACTGATCATTACCTTTATCGTGGCATCTCAACTGATTCTTTCTCATTTCATCCTAATATTTACATCAGATAAACCTTCTCTTGGAGTGATAATCTTGTGTTACCATGATATATTGATGTCATGGGCAACATCTTAGAATTCTTAGTCTAATTAGCTGGTGAATACTTCGTATGAATATAATTATCGTACATCCATAATGCCGTCCTGTTTTTATTATCAATTCCTTTTCATCTTGACAAAATTATGTAGTTATAAGTTTTTCTCGTACAGGTATTTCTGTTATATTTTCAAGTAGTAATCACCTAGGTTAAAAAACTAAATGGAAATCATCGCGTCGGTGGCATAGCGGTTAGGACGCTCGCAGACCATGCACATGGTCCGGGGTTCGATCCCCGGCCACCGACGCACTCCTTTACCTCGCTAAACCAGAAATAATGCTAATGAAGAGGACAGGTTGGGCATGAGGTTAGCAACCCCATCCTGTAAAATAAACACTGCTACAGAAACTTCAAGCCACAAGCTTGAAGCCCTATGTTCCACTGGGAAACTTGAAGGAAAAAAAGTCTTTTCTAGTGGTACTAATCGTTTATTTCAACCGAAATAGTCTGACTTTCGTGTCATGTTATGCATCTGTTAGTCATCCGACGGCAAAAACATGAATATTATTGTCTTCCGAAAATAGTTGTAGTTCCCTCATGAACAACATTCTTTTCGCCTGTTAACTTCATCTGTACTCAGAACTCTAGAATTTATGCAAATACTGTGACGTAATTTAGTTCAGCTTGAACAGAGAAGAAATTACTATTATCTTCCAATTATCGATTCAGCTGAGAATTCGTGCAACAGGACTGATTCAACACGTGTCTCGGATACCTGGCCTTATGGCAAGCAGGAAGGAATAACGAGGACTTCAAAAGTTGAGTTTCAAAACTGGGTATTTACGATTGTTGTAACTATGACCAATAAATTAAATTCATAACGTCATCCAGTAGAGAGTACTGTTTCATTGTATGATTTTCTTAATAAACAAACTAATATGGGATTACCTACTATTAAAGTGTTCACATTTAACATACATATTAAGATTACTATGACCGTCACAAAGAAACGGGTTTTTAAAAATGTATACGAACACATTGTTCAGGTCTTCCTTCATGCATAGGCAGCACTTTGACTATACATATAAATATATGAAAAAGTACACTTTTAGAGTGGCTGAATTTATTTCATTCCTTTTGCGTTCCAGGTAGAACATGGGGCTTTAAGCTTGAAGTTTATGCAACATCGCATATCACTATCACATCCAGTCTTCCCGGCCCACTACCAGCAGGTAAACTGGACAAGGTTTAAGAGTGCGTCGGTCAGGAATCGAACCCGAACCCCTTGCGTGGCTAACAAGCATCCTACCATTGAACCATCAACAATAGCGTCTAAATCAGATAACTTTAAACAATAAATCACGTTGGTATGAGTGACCTGACTAAAGATGTTCGGTCCAGTTAAAAACAATTTCACTATTCGACCTCTTAAGAATTCTCTATTAGTATAGTATCACTTGAGATGCTCTTAGAAAGTATACTTGTAGCCATTAATTCTCATATGTGAGTGTCATAAAGAAGTGTAAGTCAATAAAATCTACATAGCCATTATAGAAATAATCTATGTGCGTCAAAAAAATAGAAAAACAAATGCATTTCGTTCACGGAATTGAACTATTTTGCAAAATATTTCTACTCAGAATATAAGATTGTTAAAGAGACTATGATACCGTTATATTTCGGTAAGTTATTTTCCTCTCTTAATTGTTAAAATTATATGTTCAAGGGTAACAACTGTGCAGTGTTGCTTTTAGAAAAGATTGACTGTTTAAGCTGATTAGCAGAATCGTAGTCATTCTGGTAGTTGGATGGAAAAGTAATGCATACAATTTCTAATTAGTGTAATACCGAACTACCCATGTATGTTACACTGAACCACCGCTTCATGAATAGCATTTCTGTGAGTACTTCTAAGACTGAATACTCAGACAGCTTACTTGAGAAAACGTATCTCGAAGATGTCGAAAACTTCCTATGTGGGGTACTCAACAATGCAGCCAAATGATACTCTATTCATATGAAGAAATATGCTTGCAACTTTGTTAGAAATATCACAGATTCCCCAATCAATCGCATAAAAAATTTACTCACAACCTGTTTCATAAACAAAGTAATTCATCGAAATTTAATGTGTATATGTGTCAAACGGAGGAATTCAAAATAAAAAGACCAGAACACTTTATGTACAAATTTATTCACTCATTTGCTTGACTCTAGCCTGCCCACAAAGATTATTTCGAACTACATCTGCAAGCTTAACACAGTTGTCCATAGCATATTCTAGAGATTTCTGAAGAAACTCTGTGTGAGGCATATGTGAATCCACTGTATACAACATAGAAAATTGACGGAGACGAGGTAAAACGGCAACACAAATATGACCACTTTTATTCTCAAGATTGGACAGATCCAAATTTAATCCGACTAAAAGATCATACATTTGAACACCAGAGTTAACCAAAGCTAATCCTGCACATGTGACGGCAGCAGCCAAACAATCTCCAATTAACCCAGTCGAGTTATGTGAACACACATCCAGAATATTTGCGACAATTTCATATTTGCCTCTTGGAAACTGATGCTTTCGTTTCAAAAGAAAGTGAAAATTAACAAGATTAGGAAGCAAGCAATAGTATACAATAAATATATGTAACTACATAAAGCTAAAATTGATGCTAAGATATTAACAGGGAACGTCATTTGCCTTCCCAACCGTTTCAATATCTACGCTCAAAACCGATTTATTCAAATTCAAGTCAAAAAGGAATGAAGACTAAGAGTAAAAAAGCATAATTGATATATGAAGAGAAAACTGGGTGGGAGGAATAGGGATATTTGTCATTACTACTTAAATAAAGTTAAGTATTCATCTACAACATTGCGACAGGCTTTAATTCCTTAACTACCTTGGTTTTAATCCGAAAATCAATTTTCATCCAGTATTGAGATGTGGTTGACAATAAGTCTGTGTAATCAAAACACATCCATCTCACCTACGCTGAGAAAACTTTACAAGTGTATTTAGCCACCTTCCGGCCTTATAAGGTAATATAAATCTAAAGAATCAACGTGTACTTCATGATGTCATCGATGCGGATGAAGATAGTGCTAGTTAAGTTACAAAATATCGATCGAGCTTCACACTGGTGAAAAGTATATGAAAGGGATGAGAATACTAATAGAGACATACGTGAAAAGATGAAAAAAGAGAAAGCCGAGGTATTTATAACTACAACAGATGAAAAAACAAATTAAGTTTGAGACCTTTGTTTATTTATTGAGAAGTGAAGTATGCAGAGGCTAGAAGTCAGTGGACACTCACTTCAAACAGGTACATCTCAAAGATAGCAGATTTGAAACTGTCAACTTGAACAGTATCACAGAAGCATCTGTTACGACGACCACACGAGTGTGCGGATATTCAAATAAGATTCATACCTCAGTGCCTATGATTACTGATGAAGACACAAACAAAAGACAAGACACTGCGAACTTAACTGATAGAATTCAGTCTGCACCAAACAAAGGACTAAACACACTAAACTAGATACTA